GCGGGAAGCTTTGCTTTTCTGTTTCAATTTGAAGAAATCGGCTGCCGAATCGCATCGAATGCTTGTGGAGGCCTATGGCGACAATGCTTTATCGGAAACAATGTGCAGAGATTGGTTTCGCCGGTTCAATGACGACAATTTTGACCTGAGTGACAAGAAGCGTGAAAATCGGCCCAGGAAGGTTGAGGACTGTCAATTGCAAGCTCTTTTGAACGAGGACGATACCTAATCGCAAAAAATTCTTGCCGAGCAATTGGGTGTTTCTCAAGCAGCCATTTCCATGCGGCTACGTGCCATGGGGAAGGTTCAAAAGATCGGAAAATTGGTGCCGCATGAACTGAACGATAGGCAGATGGGGCGACGCCAAAACACATGCCAAATTCTGCTTGCCAGACAAAAAAGAAAGTTGTTCGGATTGTGACAGGCGATGAAAAGTGGATCTATTTTCAGAATCCTAAACGCAAGAAATCTTGGATTAATCCCGCCCAACCATCAACATCTTCCTCAAGACCAAATCGCTTCAGACGGAAGACGAACATCTGCTGTACGTTTGGTGGGATCAGGAGGGTGTCATCTAATACGAGCTGTTAAAACCTGATGAAACTGTTAATGCTCATCGCTACCACCAACAACTGATCAAATTGCACCGTGCTCTGCGTGAAAAAAGGCCGCATTATCGGAAAAGACATGACAAGCTAATTTTCCTCCACGACAACGCATCATCGCACATGTCAACAATGATCCAAAACTACTTGGAGACACTCAACTGGGAAGTGCTACCCCATCCCACTTATTCACCAGACCTTCTGACTGTTTTCGTCAATGGGCCACGCGCTCGCTGAGTGGCACTTCGATTCTTACGTCCGAAAATGGCTTGATGAGTGGTTTGCTTTGAAAGATGAGGAATTTTTTTGGCGTGGTATACACAAATTGCCCAAAAGATGGGAAAAATGTATAGTTAGCGAGGGCAAGTACTTTGAATAAATTTGTTTTTGCTTCCTAGGAAAAAAAAATATGTTTCTCTGACTAAAAAAACAGCGGATTTATACTTATACACCTATTAAATTCATGTATTTATTTCATAAAATTATTCCCTTAGGATTTGGCGGTTTATCTGATTATAATTTATTAAAAGATACACATACACAATATTCAATTCTTAATCTTTGCGTTTAGTAGAATAAAAAGACTTGCAATAATTGTAAAATTATTTAATATGATTGGTTCTTGTCCTTAGTTCTTCAGCTAAATGTATAAATCAAACATATATTAAAAAATTTTACAACAGTTGCAAAGCTGCCTTTCTCGCATATGAATTGAATTGAATTCATTCTGAAAAAATCAATTTTCCATTAATTACGATTCGTCAAAAGCAGACGGATTACGTAAATTCACTAGTTAATTCCCAATAGATTTGGCATTTGTAACACTTGTCCAATTAAAATCTATTCGTAAGCAATCCTACAAAAAACTATTAAATCCTATTTGGAAGGAAATGTGAAATATTTTATTAATTCTTGTTCAGCGCTTTCTTGTATACCTTGACAATATATGTCAAGGTCAAGGTTATAGAGAAGAAGTCTTTTATTCGGTATATTTACCATTTTTTATTAAGTATTTTATATTTGATTTCACTATAATCTTGAATTTGCTTATATATATATGTACCCAGCAAACGCAGTTGTATCATTAATGTAACATTTATAAATCCGAATATAACAGATTATGTAACTAGAATGCAACATGTTGCATTCTCGTTAGTTGTAATTTCCCACTCAGATGAATAACAGACACTATATAATAGTTATATAATACTTACTATGCAGATGTTATGGATTGTTGTATAATAATTACATTTTTGTTGTAAATGTTTCAATGTATTATATTTTTATTATACAATTTTTTTGAATATT